TGAGTGAATAGGCACTCCCCGGAGAGTGAGCTTTCACAGAGAGGGGCAGTAGGTAGGGACGTCTGATCTCTCCGCCTGCGAGGAGATGAACAGGAACCTTCAGTTCTGCGTTTACAGGCTCCTTAGTCATCACAGCAACCCAGCCGAGCAAGCCCTCACTTTTGAGCCGCCTCCTTTGCTTTGTGTGTTTTTCTTTAAAAATAAAACAAAGCCCTGCACAGTGGCGAAAGCCCGCCCATCGCTGCTCCCCGGGGGGCAGCTGTCACTCTGGTGTGGGGACCTCCTCGCGCATATTTTGCACTTTTAACAAATGTTCGTTTTCCTGCCGGTTTGGCTCAGTGGTAGAGCATTGGTCTGCGGACTGAAAGGTCCCAGGTTCGATTCCAGTCAAGAGCATGTACATTGGTTGCGGGCACATCCCCGGTAGGGGGTGTGCAAGAGGCAACTGGTCGATGTTTCTCTCTCATCGACGTTTCTAGCTCTCTCTCTTCCTTCCTCTCTGTGAAAAATTAATAAAATATGTTTAAAAAAATGTTCGTTTTCCTGAACATGTATGGTCGTTTTGTGTATTTTGAAACATGAATGATGCCTGGCCAGTGTGGCTCAGTGAGTAGAGCATTGGCCCATGCACCAAAGGGTTGTGGGTTCAATTCCCGGTCAGGACACAAACCTTGAGGCAGGTTTGGTTCGGGAGACAACCTATCGATGTTTCTCTCTCCTCTGCCCCCCTTTTCCCTTCCTCCCTCCTCTCTCTATAAAATCAATGGAAAAAATATCCTCGGGTGAGGATTAACCGACCCCCAAAAACCCTTACCTAAATGGTATGATGCAACATCCATTTTCGCAAACTCTTACTCACTGTGTTGATAAATACGGCTGTCAGCCACGTACTTTAACTGCCGGCAGCATCCGTCGGAAGGAGACACCATCCTTTACCTGTTCCTTTATCCAAGGCGGTGAACTGGTTTCCGGTCACGGTGCTGCAGGCCTTCCTCCCCTGCCGATGGCCTGTGGAGTGCCCTCTGAGGACACCTGTGGGCACGGGCTCAGGGGGCAGGGTGTGCGCCCCTGCATCACCGGGCCTTGCTGAACGACTGATTGGCTAGAGCTGTTCACATCGCCACAGCATTGGAAGTTCCTGCTGGTGTTGGCAGCGTGATGGTTGTTGCTGATTCCATGTGTGTACAGCAGCATCTCACACTTTTATACGCATTTCTATATTCCCGGTGATGTTGGGAATCTTTTCCATGTTTACTGGCCATTCGGTGACTAGAAATAGTAAAAACCTGTATCCTTACGTTGACATCAGAAGCTCTTTCTATCCCTAGCCCTCTGTGGAGTCTTGCCTGGCATAGCTTTCGCTAATTTTCTCCTGCCTTGTCTCTTCTTTTCTTTCTTTCTTTCCTTATTTGCTTGCTTAATTTTTAAAAAATTGATTCCAGAGAGGAAGGAAGAGGGAGATAGAAGCATCAATGATGAGAGAGAATCATGGATCAGCTCCCTCCTGCATGTCCCACTGGGGATGGAGCCTGAACTTGGACATGTGCTCTGACCAGATCCAACCGTGGCCTCCTGGTTCATAGATCTACACTCAGCCACTGAGCCACACATAGTGGGCTCAATAATGAATTTTTAAGTAGCCCATCCTTGCATTTCTGGAATAAACCCTTCTTTGTCACACATATGCATGTATACACACACATATATAGACACAGTTGCATAAACTCCACTGGATTCGGTTTGCTGATATTTTATTTAGGATTTTTAGTCTTATAAGTGTGATTGGCCCTCTTTTTCCAGCGTCTGGGGCAGTTTATATAAACAAACAGTTTTTTTAAGAGTTGGGGGGATGCCGAAACCGGTTTGGCTCAATGGATAGAACATTGGCTTGGGGACTGAAGGGACCCGGGTTTGATTCCGGTCACGGGCATGTACCTTGGTTGCAGGCATATCCCCAGTAGGGAGAATGCAAGAGGCAGCTGATCGATGACTCTCTCATCGATGTTTCTAGCTCTCTATCTCTCTCTCTTCCTCTCTGTACAAAATCAATAAAATATATTAAAAAAAGAGTTGGGGGGACACACCTATGAAACTAACTGGGTGCTGTGTGCGCACACTTTTTGGTTTCTAGTTCAATTTATTAGAATTCACAGATTTGCTTAGGTTTTCTATTTCTTCTTCATGAGTCACCTTGGACTACCTGTCATCTGATTTCCCAGCTCACCTCCTGCCCCCGGTGGCTAAAACTCAGCCCCCCCAGCCCCCCTCAGAGAACCAGTCCCCTTCTGTCCGTTCCAGTAACCAGAGCCCCTGCCAGATCGTCCTCTGGCCTCCGGTCACCTTTGTTCCTCGAGCCTGTGACTTTACTTCCCCTTTGAGGACTCAGCCACATGTTTAATTGTCCTGGTAATTTACCCCTATTTCTAAGTTTGGTGCTTTTTCTCATTCTTCTCTCTGGCTGGGTTCTGAAGGCGGTCCCACTTTATGGATAAGAAAGCGAGGGTTCGGAGAGGTCCCACAGCCTGCGGAAGCCACGCCACCAGTGCTTTCAACCTCACGGTCCCAGCTCTCCCAGTCCTCATGCTGTGCGGCTGCCACATTATCCCCGCTGCTTCTAACGCCTGAAACGCCTAGCGCCCTGCCCAGATCCCAGTGTGTGTGCGTGTCCTTCCAACCCATGTTTCAGCTCTGTTTGTGGTGAGTTCAGCTCCCGGCCAGGGAATGCAGGGTGAGGCGGCGGCCACGGCCCTGCCTGGGAACGCCCTGTGCTCACCGGACTCGCACACTCACGGTTGTGCTGTGTGCGCAGTGGGTGTGCAGAGCTGACTGGGCTGCAGCTCTGGGAGAGGTGCTTTGGTGTGGGAGCTCAGAAAGGGGACTGTGACCCTGAAAGGCAGGTTAGGGTACCTCCCGGGAGAGCGTAAGGAGCTGCGATCTGAAGAAGGAAGAGGTGCTAACAGGGAAGTGGGAGAGCTGAGGCCCAGCTGGCACAGAGCTCTGCCCAGAGCAGCGAGGACAGGGAGTGAGGCGGTGCCCGGGGTGAGGAGTCCGGAGAAGCTGGCGGACCACCGCGGGGCCTGAGCCCGGAAGGACGGGGTCTTTAACCGGAGATCAATGGGACACCGGGAAGGAGCTTCAGTGGGCGCCGAGACAGTCTGATTTGCATTTCAAAAGGCCTCTCCGACCCACCGGCAGCCGATCCGCCGCCGCCAGGGTCAGAGGGCGGCCGGTGCAGGGGGGTGGGGGGTGGACAGAGGGAGATGTAACGGGGCACACTGATGGGTCTGGACTCAGCACCGGTGCTCACTGTGACCGCCTCTGATGTCTGTGTGACACCAGGTCCCCGGGGGCGCACGGCGTGTGGAACCGGCCAGCGGGCCGGGCCGGGGCTGCGGGCAGCGCTTTCCCCACCCGCGCCCGGCATTGCTTGCCCTCCATGCTGCAGAGCCCTCCAGCTCTCCGGTGCACCGTGCACCCCCCCCCCCCCCCCGCACTGCCGGCCTAGCCCGGGGCTGAGGTGGGGACCCCGGGAAGCGGGGTGGAAGGCTGTGCGCCGGTCACTCCTCCCGGGGGCGGGAAGGGGAGACTCACAGCCAACCTCCGGGCCCTCCCGGCGGGGTCACCCCAACAGGCCTGTCCCCCAGGGCGGCCGGGCCCGGGAGGGGGAGGGGCGTGAGCGGGAGCACCGGCCTCGGGCGGCTCCGGAGGGAAGCGGCGGGCGGGAGGGGGACAGACCTCCCGGAACCACCAGCGAAGCCACCGCGTTTCAGCTCTGGGGCTCCCTCCCCGGCCCCTCGGCGCTTCCCTCCGAAATCCCAGCAGCGCCTCCCTCCCCCGCCCGGCACCCGGCGCCGCTCCCGGGAACCCGGGTGGGAGTGGGGGTCCGGTCCGGGGGGAGCACACGGCGGGGCGGGCGGCCTGTCCTGCGGGCAGCAGGTCGGGGTGGCCGCGGGTCGCAGAGCTGAAGGGTCCCCGTGTCCCCGTCCTGGGGGCTAGCGGTGCGGGGACAAACTGGGAACCCGAGCGAGCACCGGGCGCCGGGCCGCTCACCCCCCCCCCCGCGCTGGCTCCCCGCCTGCGGGGCAGCGCCCAGCGCAGCGCAGCGGGGATTTGGGGCGATCGGGTGGGGGCGCCAAGGGCACGACGGAAGCAGGAAGTGAGGGGCCCAAACGGTGGAGTGGGCCCGTCAGCCCCGCGGCCAGGCGATTCCTGCTCCCGCCCCCGCCCCCCGCCCCCCGGCAGGACCGCTCCGCCCACGGGAGCCGGGCTGCGGGGCGGCCTCCCTCCCGGCGGGCCCCAGGCTGGGAGGTGGCGCAGATGGTTCTCGCAGCCCCCGCCCCCCGCCCCCCCCCCCAGCCACAGAACCAGCTTGTCTCCCCCCCCCACCCTCAGGGCCTGTCCCCTCCACAAACTCGCCACCTCCCTGCCATCCGTGTGGAACTGGAACTCCGAGTTCAGCCCGGGCCACTCAGGATTCAGGGGCAAATGTTGGACCTGACCTCACAGCCCTGCCCTCCGTCCTGCCTCCACCAGCCTCCCCGGCCGGCCCTCCCCTCCCGGTTTTATTTGTCATTCGGAGGTTCAGGATGAGGGAAGGACCCGCCTTGAACAACCTCAGGCATTTTCCCGTCTCCAAGGCCGAGTCTGCGTGATGTCCCAGCTTTCCATCTCAGCCCCCCTCCCCCTCTAGCACCGATACACACACAGGACTGCAGGTTTGAAAGAGGAAAAGCACTTTTGTTGTCGCCGGTGGGAGGGCTGCAGGAGGGTCTCACCTTCCCACACTCGTGTAGAGGGGAGTCTGGGGCAATAGAAAAGGCAGTAGATGTGGGTGCATCTGTACAATATAGAAGAATCTGATATACTTTGTATAAAAGCCACATGTCCTCATGTGTGTCCTCCTGCTGGCTGGCTGGGCTGGGGCACCGGGGACAAAGGCTGGGGAGGTGGCCCGGCCACAGGGAGCCGGTGGTCCCCATCGCTGGCTGTCCCCTGTGGGGTCACTTTGGATCCTTGGTGGGGGCATAGCAGAGCTCCAGTGGCCGGGACACTTTCCAGAATTTCTCATTCACCAGCTCTAGGGTCAGAGAGCCATTTAGTGTCTGCAGAGGGGGTGGGAGGAAGAGGCAGGGAAGAGAAAATGAAGTTGGAGAAGGCAGGAAAGGAAATGAGTGAGGTGACCATGGAGGACGCAAGGAAAGGAGCAAAGGGGGGACACGTGAAGGAGGCGGGAGAAGAGAGAGGGGGGAGGTGGAGGGGAGGTGGAGAGGGGGAGGGGGGAGAGAGGGGAGGGAGGGAGAAAGAGAGGGAGGGGAGAGGAGGGAGGGAGAGAGGGAGAGGAGGGAGAGAGGGAGAGGGAGAGGGGGGAGGTGGAGGGGAGGTGGAGAGGGGGAGAGGAGAGAGGGAGAGAGGGAGAGAGGGGAGGGGAAGAGGAGGGAAGGGAGAGTGAGAGGGAGAGAGGGTCAGTCAGAAATCAGGATGCTGGCTGTGGAGCCCCAGCCAGCTCCCTGTCCCCCACCCCGGGCCTCCAAGGCTCACCGTGAAGGCCCCGCCGCCGGGGGCGATGTAGATGGTGTACTGCTTTTCGCTGACGCCCTCCAGGCTGGGCAAGGCAGGCTCCTCGGGGCTGTCACCTCCGCCAGCGCCCCCGCCCTCCCCCCCACCATCAGGTCCCGCGGCATCGGAGGCGCCCCCTCCGGGGCCTCCCGGCTCCGCCGCCTCCTGCTGCTGCCTCCGCTCCAGGGCAATGCGCAGGGCCAGGTACTTGGAGAGGTGGTCCACCGTGGCGTTCCCGGTGGTCTTCACGTACCTGCGGAGAGCGCGCTCAGGGCGGGGAGCCAGGGCAGGGGGAGCAGGGCTTTCACAGGGCGCTGGGTGGGGGCTTTCTGGCCGGCAAAGCCCACCCTGGGGAGGCTATAGGTCTGGTTTCTCACCTCGTCTGGCAGTATTCTCCCTTCTCCACGAGCAGCGGGTGGGGCCGGAACACGAGCTCAATCTCTCCACCTGGCTCGGGGGGACTAGGAGCCCCAGGAGGGCTTGGGGGCCCCAAGGTACCCCCTCCCAGTGTCCCTCCCCGGTCACCAGAGTCTTCAGAACCAGCGCCCCCACCCACCCCACCAGTGCCTCCTACCCCTGTCCCTACACTGCTCCCCCCTGCACCCCCGCCACGGGGTCGCTTGGGGGCGGGGCCGGGGGCAGAGTCGGGAGCAGAGTCTGAGCTCACATCCTCCCCATCGCCCTCTCCCTCCCCCGGTTCTCCTTCCCCTCCACTCATCGTGGCCGTCTGATCTGACCCAGGCATCGGCCGCCTCACACGCTGGGCCCTGTAGAAGCAAGCAGTTGAGGTTAGAAAGCATCAAGGAAAAGAAGACTCCTCAGACTTTAAACTTCAGGTTGAAAAGATCAGGGGAATCTTAAAGGTGACAACTAATATTTATTAAATACTGACTACCTGCCAAGCACACTGCTATGCATTTTGCATTGGTCCTCTTCCATAATATAGGTAATTACATTACCTCTATTTTATGGCTGAGGAAACTGAGGCTTAGGGAGGTTAAATAACTTGTTTGAAATCATGTAGTCCCTTGCCTTTCAAAGGAGCCTGCAGCATAGGCTGGTAGAAATGCAGAATTTCAGGCCAAGCCAGGCCTACGGAACCACACTTTGCATTTCAAACGAGACCCTTTACAGACCCAGCAGTGCTGGCCTGGGGGGTGTTTTAATTCCCAGCAATGGGAGTCCAGAGCTTAGACTTCAGACCACTCTACTATTCTGATTTGTAGAAACTTAGGAGAGCTGTTTTCCTTTTAAGAATAGTAGCGCCTCTTGCTAAGAAGCTGTGTTTACAGCCATGACTTCTAGGCCTGGCTATCAGGCCTCCATTAGCTCCTAGGGGGCTGGCTTACAAGACGGCAGGCGGCAGGCAGCACCCGAGTCTGGCCTGTGGGTCCGCCCGCCAGCCCGGCCTGGCCCCTCTCCGGCAGCACCTGTGCAGGGCCTGCATGCACAGCCCCTCCTCGCACCTGTGCATGGCCTGCATGCACAGCCCCTCCTCGCACCTGTGCATGGCCTGCATGCACAGCCCCTCCTCGCACCTGTGCATGGCCTGCATATACAGCCCCTCCTCGCACCTGTGCATGGCCTGCATGCGCAGCCCCTCTCGCACCTGTGCATAGCCTGCATGTACAGCCCCTCTCGCACCTGTGCATGGCCTGCATGCGCAGCCCCTCCTCGATGCTGGAGCTCAGCGCCTGCTGGTTGTGCAGGCGGCTGAGCCGGATGAGCACCCGGTCTTGGTGGGCCTCGTATTCCTCCCGGCTGGGATAGATCTTCGAGATCAGAGCATCGAAATTGGGGTCTGGGCGCAAAGACCGCTTGGAGACCAGCTTCTTGCGGCAGGTGGGGCACTCTTTGTTCCTGGGGCGGAGAGAGGGGGCCCCAGCAGTCAGCCGCCTGGGCCTTGAGGCCTCAGCGCTGCACCTCTAACCCCAGCTCCACGGAGCCCTCCGTTACCCGCTCCGCAGCGCCGTGACGATGCAGTCGGAGCAGAAGCGGTGGAGGCACTCCTTGGTGGTCATTGTGTTCTTCAGCATGTCCAGGCAGATGGGGCACATGAGCTCCGAATGCAGCGACCGAGGGGAGACCGCAATCTCTGTGCCGTCCATGATGGCTTCCTGGAGGCACCAGAGAGGGGAAGGCGGTGGTGGTGAAGGCGGTGGTGAGTTGGGGTAAAGAGTTTTAGAAATAATTGGTCTGCCCTGGCCAGGTAGCTCAGTTGGTTAGAGCATTGTCCTGATATGCCAAGGTTGAAGGTTCAATCCCCGGTCAGGGTGCAGATAAAAAATAACCAATGGATGTATAAATAAGTGGGACAAATTGATATTTCCCTCTCTTTTTCCTCTCTCTCTAAAACAAACAAACAAATAAATAGACAGACAAGTGGCCTGTGAAATGGGAGTTTTGAGAAATACATTGAGATGGCAGAATCTGGATACCCCGTGTTGGCCACTTGAGAAAGAAGGGAATTCTGAGAGAGGAGCTACTGATCGGAGGGAATGGAGAAGAGCATTAATGTCCCTTAATCAAGAGTAGGCGCTTTGAGGAGGACCTGAGGTAGGAAAGCCACCTGAGGGTGAGGGGGCACAGATCTGTGGTTTGGGGACTTATTCAGCAGTTTCTCAAAGTGTGGCCATGGCGCTCCCCATGTCAGGGTCTGGGCTCCATCCCTTGCTGTGTGAGAAGCCCCGTTTTCAGTAAACTCCCAGGAGGGCTCCCGCACCCCTGCCACACGGAACTGCTCGCCGCCTTTCACAAGAGGCAGCAATGTGTGCTCTGCCTCTGGCTGTTGTGAGAATTAAAGAAAATAAATGTGGAAGCGGTCTGAAAGGCTAAGGTGGTCGGAAGGTAGGGCCCAGGGTGGGGAGGGGGCTGCGCGGGTCCGTGGCCGGGGGCGTGGGGCGGGAGTAGCGGAGGGACCGTCACCTGCGGGGTCCGGTGCAGCTCGTACAGGCTCAGTTCCCACGTTTTGCTGGCATTCTGGGCGTTCGCGGGCGTCGTCATGGTGACGGAGCGCAGACCCCGCCGCGGCGGAGGAGGAGGTGGGCTGGGAGGGGGAGGGGAGGGAAGGGACCGGGTTAGGGGCCGCGCAGACCCCGCCCTCCGGCGCCCTCCGTCCCCCGCCCGCCGGCCCTCACCCCGCTCCGCCGCCCGCGCAGCCGCCGCCGCGCCGCGCCCGGTCCGACTCCCGGGCCGAGTTCGCTGGTCCGCGGCCGCCGCTCCGACTGCAGCTCCCGCCGCCGCCGCCGCCGCCGCCGCCGCCGCAGGCCCGGCACAGGCACAGGCCACGTCACTTCCGCCGCCCCGCTCCCCCCGCCGGGACGTCACCGCCGCTCGCGGCTCGGGTGGGACGCGACGTGGGCGCCCCGGTCCCCGCCCTCGGGGTGCGCCCGCGCCCCGCCGGGAGCAGCGCCCCGAGGCTCCCGCCACGTGGGCCGCGGCCCCCGCCGGCCCGGCTACCGGCCCTGCCGCCCCGCCGGGCCTCCCGCCGGAGGGCGGGGCCTGCGCGGGCTCCCGGGAGGGCCGCCCCCACTCCGCGTCCCCGGCGGCTCGGGACGGCTCCGGGTCCCGCACACAACTTGGCGGCGCGGCCCGGACTGGGGGACAAAGCTGCGCGGACCCTCCGCTCAGCCTCCCGCTCCGAGAGTGCAACCAGGTCCCGCGGCGCCGGGACCTCCCGGGCCCCGGGCCCCGCCGCTGGGCTCCCCGGACCCTCGGCCTGCTCCCCCTCGAGGTTCGGGGGCGGCGGCTCGGGACGTCCAGACTCAACTCTCGGCCGAGCCGGAGACGCGAGAATTGCGTTTGGACAATCAGGAGCCGCGGCCCGTGCGGGGGGAGGCGCGGAGGGACGGGATGGGGCGCCACGCGGGAGGGACACAGATGGGGCCCCTGTCGGGGAGGGGGTGCGCTGTGCGGGGCCCAGGGGCGAGTGTCTGCAGGGGGAGCGGGCAGAGGCCTCCGCCAGGGCTGGGCGGTAAAGGAAGGGGACGGGAGGAAAGAGGAAGGGGCAGCGCGATCCCCACGGAGGGCAGGGGTGAGCGGGACACGGGGGGAAAGTCCGCGAGGGGGTCCCCGTCTCCTCCAGCCTCAGCTCCCGGGCTTGGGCTGCAGCTGCCAGGGGGTGGCCTGTTTCTGGGACAGGGCAGCAGTGGGTCCCCTTGCCCCTTCCCCCGGTTACCCCCTACTTCCCTGTCCTCTCCTTCAGTCCGTGGCCAGTCCTTATGTGGGCTCCGGAGTCGATTAGCGCAGACCCCCTCCCTTCCCTCCTCCTCCTCCCAGCCCCCTCCCTTCTGCTCTCCTCCAGCTCCTTTCATCGCCGGTCCATTCCCCTAATCCTGGCCCCCTCCTGTAATCCCCCCAGCCGACCCCAGGCCGGCTGCAGCTATTGTAAGGTGGAGAGAAAGGAGAGGGGGGACTCAGAGAAAGGAGAGCGGTGGGGGAGGGCCACCTGTTCCAGACCCCCTCCGAAGGCCAGACTGGACACTGGGATGGGGCCATGAACAAATCACGGTTGGGGAGCACAACGACCAGGGTATTGGGGGGAGGAAACTGGGGCTGCAGGACCAGTGGTAGGGGGTGGGGCAAAGACCCCCTCCCTCAAAAAGACCCAGATTGTCACGAATACACAGTGACACACACTCTCTCCTCACACCCGGCGGCAGGGGTTGCCCTGGGAGACCAGGCGGTGAAAGGGAACAATCCTTTGGGGAGAGGGGGAGGTGGGGAAGGGTCTGAGGGCTTGGACACAAGAAGAACCGGAGGTGGCAGGGAAGAGGATTTGGAATTTATTAAGGTCACAGGCACCCCTGCCTCCCATATTCAGCATTCCTGAGCCATACACTGCCACCTCTTTTGTAGCCTGGGAACTCAGTCCTCAGCAGCAGGAGGTCGTGGAGTGGTGGGGGGGCGAGCAGAGTCCTGGTCCTGGAGGCAGTTACATGAAAAGTCCTCCTGGGAGGGGCAGAAACATGGACAGATGCACAGGTGGAGACAAATGGGGTGGGGGCGTGTGCCTCCTCTGTCCCTGGCCCTCGGGAGCTTGGCCCTTCCATCAGCGCCTCCAGACTCCCCTCACAGGTCAACCGGGTTCCTCTTCCCAGCCCTCCCCCTCCCCAGGGCGGCCTCATACCAGTGACTTCCACTGAGGCCCCGGTGATGTATCCACTGTCATCAGATGCCAAGAATGCGACCACATCTGCCACGTCTATGGGAGGAGTGGGGAGAGGGCAGGCTCCTACTCACCCTCATCCACCCAGAGAGCCATCATCTCTCACCTGAACCCTCCCCAAAACCCGTGAGACCCTCTCTGACACCACAGGCTTTGGGACCTCATTCAGGGCCCTCCCCAGAGCCTCCCTTCACTCAGCGCTCACCCTCAGGGTCCCCCAAATGTCCCATCGGGATCAGTCCAGTCACCTGTAAGGAAACCCTCATGAGTGGCTGAAAGTTTCTTTTATGGATTTTTTTTTTTTTTTTTTTTTTAGATTGAGTCCTGACCCTCTTTTCTTCTGTCTTCATTCCTGTGCACTTCCTGATGGCCCACTTCTAGCCAGGCGCTGTGTCTGGCACTCTCAAACCCAGTGTCTGGGCCTCTGCACGTTCAGCTCTCTGCCCTCGCCCATGGCCTACCTTGTCCAGCACTTTCTGTGGCACTTTCTGTGTCATGGGCGTGGTAATGAACCCTGGGAGGACAGAGTTACAGCGGATCCCGTGTCTGTGGGAGGGAGAGCAGCTGCTGACTGTGGAGAAGACGGAACGATGACTCTTCCCTCGGAGCTCCCACAGCCCCAGCAGTCCTGGCCCCCGGTGTCTGACCAACCTTCCCAGCTCCCGCGCTACAGTCTGGGTCAGCCCCAGCACTCCAGCCTTGGACGCTGAGTAGTTGGTCTGTCCCAGGTTCCCCACCTGCAGGTGAGTCAGAGAGCTGGGATGAACCAGGAGCCCCAGGAGAATTCCCCTCTCTGGGCCCTGACCTCATCCCAGCTCCACCTGACCTTCCCTACGATGCTGCTGATGTTGATGATGGAGCCACGACAACCACTGGACACCAGGGCCTGGGCTGCAGCCTGAGTGACCAGAAAGGTACCCTAGTTGGGGGGACGGGGGAGAGTAACAAGGGAGAAGGATCAGCTGGAGCGAGAGCCATCCTGCAACTCCCTCCCAAGAGAAGGGCCAGAAATGGCAGGTTTGGTCACCACCTTGAGGTTGACAGCTATGACTTTGTCCCAGTCATCCTCAGACATGTGGAGCAGAAACTCATCCCTAGTAATGCCCGCGCAGGACACAACGACAGACGGCGGGCGAGAAAAGCAGGCCTACGGAAGAGGGAGGTCACACACCAAAACCTCAAGCGCCCGGGCGGTGGAGGGCAGCGCCTGGAGGTCGAGGTCGCCCGCGTTCACCTGCACTTGCTCCAGCAGGCGCCGGGCGGCCCCGGCCTCAGACACGTCAGCCTGGAAGGCCGCGTGGGCCCCACGGGGCGCCCCCTCCTCGCCCCCCGGCCCGCCCAGCAGCCGCACGGTCTCCTGGGCCGCTGCCCCGTCCAGGTCGCAGGCGGCCACGGCGGCCCCCTCTCGGGCCAGGCGCACACTGACGGCGCGGCCAATGCCGCTTCCGGCACCTGCGGGCGAGAACACGCGGGGTGGGCGCGGGCAGGGGCCAGAGGTGGACGGCGGTTAGTAGGATTCGGGCCAGCGGCTGCCGAGGCCGAGGGCACCCCAACCCGCCCTGAAAGGACCCCGCAACCTGTGACCAGGGCCAGCGCGGAGCCCAGCCGGAGCAGAGTCGCCATGGCTGGCCGTGGGCGGGACCAGCCCGGAGCCAATCCGGGCGCAGAGGGGGCGTGGCGAGAGCAAAGCCCGGCCAATGGCAGCCGCGGCTGCTTTAGCCGCCGGCGGCCACCCGCTCGAGCAGACCTCCCACCGCGGGGGCGTGGCCAGGCGCCGCTACTTGGGGCCGCGCGGAGTGGGAAGATGAGGGGCCCCCATTTCCCCCCAAAAGACAAAGAATGCATTCGGGGCGGAAGATCCGAGGACTTTATTTCCGGTCACCACCCCACCCCACCCCCTCGACCCAAACAGAGATATAAAAAATATTAGAAACAAAAATCAGGCAACGAGATTAGCAACTAAAGCTCCCCCCCATCCAAATCAAGACACACGATTGAAGTTTAGTAGATGTTTATCGCGACTCCTGCTGCCGGGACTCCCAGGGCTCTGGCCCTCCCTGCAGCCTCCACCCACAGGCGGGAGGGAGGGAGGAGGGCCTGGAGAAACCTGTGTGGGGCAGCTTGGTTGTCCGAGAACAGGTGGGGTAGGGGACTCCCGGGAGGCCGCCACCAATGGTCTCTTCCAGCCTTCTACATGGCCCCATTTAGCCCCACACCCAACAACGTGGTCAGCACATGCCCTACACTATGGTCCCTCTGGCCTCTCATGCTCATCCCTTCAGCTCCTATAAGACTGTCAAATCTTGCTGCTTTCATGCCGAAATGACTACTTCCCTAGGAAACAACTCCTTCCTTTGGCAGATGAACCTGGCCAGAGCCCCCAACCTCCACAGACCCCAGACGCAGAGGACTTAAGAGGCTAACGGTTTGGGGCTGGGGTGGGGGCAGTTTACCCCACCTCTCACTCGAGGTGGGCAATCAGCACCATCATGCCAACTCCCCCCAGCAGCCCCAGCACCTCCAGAAGTGACTGCAATGGCGAAGCCTCCCTCAACAGCTCAGGCAACACGGACACCGTTGCTACGTAGATAAAGCCACCTGCAGTGAATGGCAGAATCCAGCCAGGACCTGTACCACCTGCAACTTCACTGCCCACTGCCCCGCCTTCCGTTAAGAGGGCACAGGCGGTGCCTGCCAGCGCCCCTACTGCCGTCAGTAGCTGCAGACACATTGCCTGGTGGGCAGAAAAGAGAGAGGCACTCAGCATCATCTAAAGGGAATCGGAAGTTTAGACATGGCTGCTAGGAGGTAGGTATACATGGGCAGGGTGTAAGTCTTTGGAAACAAGAGGGTACGATAAAGTCTTAGCTGGTTTGGCTCCATAGTACAGTGTTGGCCTGCAGACTGAAGGGTCCCGGGTTCGATTCTGGTCAAGGACACGTGTCCAGTAAGAGTAAAGGAAGCAGCCAATCAATGATTCTCTCTAATCATTGATGTTTTTCTCTCCCTTCTTCTTAAAAAAAAAAAAAAAAAAAGGTCTAGAATAAGCATTTTCTGAAAAGTCTTAGATATCAAAAAGATCCTTTTCACAGACCTTTTGATTCAGTAATCGAGGGTGGGGAGTGTGGTCTGAAAGACCCAATAAACCATTCAGATGGTTTATGGACCGCAGTTCAAGAAATGCTGTGCCCGGGCTTATGTGGCTCAGTTGGTTGGAGTGCTGTCCTGTGCACGGAAAGGTTCTGGGTTCTATTCCTGGTCAGGACACGTGCAAGAGGCAATCAATCAATGTTTCTCTCTTTCAAAATAAAGAAAATGTGCTTAGGTAAGGATTAAAAAAGAATAAAAAGAAATACTAAGCAATAGAAAAAAGGAACCGAACTTCCCCTCATTTCTAGGCTTACTGTCAATAACAGTGTGACTTGTTTGAAAGGAGAGGCAGACCTGGGTTTGGGGTGGATGAAGGGGAGTAGGGGGAGGAGGCACATCATCACCCACCTGCTTTTTGCTGCAGCCAGACTGGACCAAGATGGCAAAGTCGCCAACTTCGTGGGGTACTTCATGTAGCAGGACAGTCATTGTGGTCAGGACCCCCAATCCCAGACCCCCTCGATATGAAGCACCGATGGCCAGACCATCTGTGAAGTTGTGTGCCAGGTCAGCAGCCAGATTGAGGTACCCGGATACGCGGAGATCTTACACGGGAGGCAAGGAAGACAGAACAGTTAGACATCCCATCACCCCATCCCAGCCCTGGTCAGTCATTATTGCATCTTCCCCCAGAGACCACTTCAACCAGCCCTTCGGTGTTTTCCGGACATGTCATCACCCACTGCGCATGTTCCATGTGATTCATGACGATGCCCCGTGCCCAGGCTTACTACCAACTGTGGACCTCACCTGAGCCTGTCTTTTCCTCTTCAGAATTCCGAGGTCTCACTGGCCCATCTTTGAGCCCTGTGCCCCCTCCTCTCCGCTTCCTCAACCCCTCTGCTTCCTTCTCTTCTTCCTCGGAGTTCTGTTTCTCCTTTGCAGAACGCTCTGAGAGAAGGAAGGAGCCGATAAGAGTGGGGAACTGCCCTCGCACCTAAGGGCCATGAGACGAAGGGAGTTTGAGGCGAGCGAGGTGGCTTTCAGTGAGGTTGTTCCTGGGCTTACCCTGTGTTCCGTGTCCATGACTTCCGTGTGTGTGACCATGTCCATGACTGTGTCCGTGTCCTCCTTTCACATGTCTCACAAATTTCTCCACCACAAGAAAGGCGACAATTCCACTGAGGACCCACAGTCCCACAGACAAAATAGGGCCCTGGCCTGGGAATGGATGCATTGAGATATTAAGGGAGATGTGGGTTCCAGACTCTCAGGTGTAGAAAAATTGGGAGGGATAAACCTTCCCCAGCTCCCCAATCCCTATCTCCATCCTCCCCTTCCTCACCACTGTGGGAGTGTCCATGTCCCGGCTGCTCCTGAAGGTGGTGAGAATGAGGTTCTGAAAGGGGAGGAAAGGGCAGATGAGAAAATCCCTGCCCCAGGGGGATATGTTTGCAGAAATATTGGAAGGTCAGAGATCACAAAGGGGGAAGAACCCTTTACCCAAAGAACAAAATATATTAAGACTAGAGGTCTGGTGCACGAAATTCAGGCACGGGGTGGGGTGGGTTGGGAGGTGGAGAAGTGGGGGGAAGGAAGGTCCCTCAGCCCAGCTTGCACCCTCGGGCAGTCCCGGAGCCCTTGGGGATGTCCAACTGATGGCTTAGGCTGTGCAAAGGGGGCCTAAGCCGTCAGTCAGACATTCTCAGCACTGCCTCCGAGGTGGGTGGCCCCCACCACCGCTGCTGCACTCACCAGCCATGAGCCTGGCTTCTCATTGAGTGGCTTCTGACTGAGCTGTGCTCCCCTTGGGTGTGCACTGACCACCAGGGGGCAGCTCCTGTGTTGAGTGTCTGCCCCCTGGTGGTCAGTGCATGTCATAGCGACTGGTCGTTCTGCTGTTTGGTTGCTTTGCACATTAGCCTTTTATTATATAGGATTTGAGGTAGTGACTTGAGGTTACTTACCCAGGGCATGAGGAATGAGGTGCAGGAAGGCATCTCCCAGGAGTCCGCCAGAAGCAAAACTGAGCAAGATCTGGAGCAGAGAGCGGTGCCGGGGGGAGTTTGACTCCACAGGAATAAGGAAGAGGACGAAGAATGGAGCTGCAGAGATCAGCACTGTGGCCCCCAGTGCCTGGTAAGGGAGAGTCAGGGGTCAAGTGTGCAGGGTTTCCTAAAATCCAGAACCAGTCCCTCTCTCCCCCGTCCCCTAGGGACTCACATAGGCCCAGAGAGTGACAGTATCCAGGTCCCGCTTGTTGCCTGGAACCTCCCCATAGCCTCCGTGGCTGTGCTCATGGTCATGTCCATGTCCTCTGTGGTAGAGGCTCTCATGCGAGTGGCCTTTGCTATGGTCATGATGCAAATCCTCATGCAAATGTTCGTGGTCGTGACCATGGGTATGCCCATGCCAGATGCTCTCGTGCGTGTGGCCATGGCCGTGGGCGTGGCTGTGTCCATGATGGAAATCCTCATGAGAGTGGCCGTGGCCATGGAAGTCTTCGTGCTGGTCCTCGTGCAGGTCGCCGTGACCCTCGTGTCCGGCCACTAGCAGCCCCAGGGCCGCCCAGGTCAGCAGTCCCACGGCCACCCAGAGGGGGGCCCCCAGGCGTCTGGCCATCACGCTGACCAGAGGGACAGAAACAGTGACTCCACTTGATCAACTCTACACCTGTGCGGGGTCCGCTCACTCCGCTCGCGCCCTCCGTCCACGCCTACGAGCCGCTCCCCCATTCCATGTTGCCCCCACCCTCGGGGTTCCCAACTCGTTCTTTTTATCCCGAACCTCCTCCAGATTTAGGGCCCGGGACACCCGCTAAGCTCCGAGCCCCCGCTTACAGACTCTCTGGGCCCTCGTCTCTATGATGAGTGGGGAAAGCCTGGAAAGGACGGGGGGAAAGCGGGGAATGCTCACCGGCTCCGGGATCCTCTCCACGCCAGGTCTACTCGGACGTGGCAGTCCCGCCTCTGGCTCTCGCGGGAACAGGAAGTCTCGTCTCTCGGCTCCAGTCCTTTACCAATATGGCGGCGCTCCGGCGGCGGGGGGCCGGCCCCGGCGCGCGTGCGCGGGTGCGAGGGTTATTTGAGGGGAGGGTGGGCGCGGCCGGCTCCCAGGCCGGAGACCGCCTCCTCCGTTTTCAACTAGACGAGGGGGCGGGAACTAGCTCGGCGACTTCCCTTCTGTACCAAGATGGCTGCCACATCGGCGCTGTCATTTTGGTGCAGAGCAAAGCGAAGCGCTTAATTCGACCCGGGTCAGGCCGGAGTCCCTTTCTCTAGGGCTGCTTCGTGCTCAGCTGGCCTCTCAGTCAGCCCCTGGGGATCTCTGGTGCCTCCTCGCTATCCCGGCGCTCAGCCTGGAACCATGTCTTGGGCTGCTCGCCCGCCCTTCCTCCCCCAGCGGCATGCCGCGGGGCAGTGTGGGCCGGTGGGGGTGCGAAGAGAAATGCATTGTGGGGTCGCGTCCCGGTGGCGGCGGCGACGGCCCTGGCTGGATCCTGCGGCGGCGGCGGCGGCCGGAGGACAACAAACCCCGGAGCCGGAGCCGGGGGAGCCCGGACTGGACGCGATGGGCGACAGCGGGCGGGGTGAGTGTCCAGCGAGCGGCCCTGCGAGCCGGGGGCCGCGCTCCCTGCACCCCTCCCCCTCTCGGGGTGCTCTTCCCCCTGCGCTCCCGCCCCCTTGTTTGTAAACACGCGTCCCCTCCCTCCCCGGGGCCCTGGCGCCCTCCCTCCGGGGCGGGGCGGGGAGGGGGAAGCTTCCGCCCTCCGGCCCCTGCGCTCCGGGGCGCACACCGCCCTCCCGGGCTGGGGCCGGAGTCCTGGCGTGTGAGGCGCCTGGCTTGGAAGGCGGGTCCCGCGTTCTGGGAGAGGTGTCTCCCGCCCGCCTGGTTTTCCTGCGCGCCCGGGCCACGGTGGGAGCGGAGGGCCTAGCCCACGTGTTGCCCCACCCACAGGAGACTGGCTTGGGCGTCTGGCTGGGGGTGACCAAATACATTGCTTGGAGTTTTCCTCGCCCGAATTATCCTCTCCTTTGTGAATCCCTCCTGTCGCCACAATTAGAAGTTGAACTGTTGTGTGATAACCGGGTGTCTCTGGGCATGGGAACGGGGTAGGTGTGTGGGAGGCAGGGAGCAGTGGAGGATTTGAAAAAGTCTTCAGTTGATGATGGAGGACTCATTTTCTCTTTTTGTCTCTCCTGTCTGTGTGTCTTTGTGCCTCTGTGTGCCCCTCCCCCAGACTCCCGAAGCCCAGACAGTTCCTCCCCCAATCCCCTTTCCCAGGGTGCTCCTCCCCACTCTCCTCCTGGGCCGCCTCTGCCCCCCTCAGCAGCCCCTTCCATTGGAGGCTCTGGGGCCCCACCCCCACCTCCGATGCCACCCCCTCCCCTGGGCTCCCCCTTCCCCGTCATCAGCTCTTCCATGGGCTCCCCTGGCCTGCCCCCTCCAGCTCCCCCAGGATTCTCCGGGCCTGTCAGCAGTCCCCAGGTGAGAGGGTGTGATCCACGTTCTGCCTCTCCACTTTCATTTCCTTGTGACCTGAGATCCTCGTGTGAACTTCCCCATGACCCAGTGGCCTCCAGACCCCTAATTCTGGCAGGCCTGCTGTCCTTGTGAGACCCCCTGAGGTGACCTGTCTTGCAGTGCATGTGTCCACCCCAATTCCAAAGGAACCCCAATATTCCTAATGTCCTTTCATCTGTCGGTGGTTTTCTGCCCTTTTGGTCCCATCTGCCCTTCAGAGATACGTACCTCAGGGCCACTGTGTTGCACTATTTCAAGGGACACTGTGCGTCCAGGCTCCGGGCTGTGCCCCAGGCCGGCTCTCCACGCAGACCGGTGTAACGGTGCCCTCTGGGATGTGCAGTGCAGGGCCCTGCCTGGGTGTTAGGGCATGCCTTTCGTCTCCTCTGATTCTCTTTCCCAGTGAGTCTCCCCATGACTTCCCTATTTCCCCTATCCCAGATTAACTCAACAGTGTCGCTCCCTGGGGGTGGGTCTGGCCCCCCTGAAGATGTGAAGCCACCAGTCTTAGGGGTCCGGGGCCTGCACTGTCCACCCCCTCCAGGTGGCCCTGGGGCTGGCAAACGGCTGTGTGCAATCTGCGGTGACCGGAGCTCAGGTATGGGGCTCAGGAGACCAGCAGACAGGAAGAGAGGCACCCTGTCTGCCATTCACCATCCCCGTGGGATTCCCAGGGCCCCATGGGGTTTCTTTGGAGCAAGTGAGCAGGGGAGGCCCAGTGAGAGCTAAAGAACCGAAGCTCAGATGGGATGGGGTGGTTAGAGGGGAGAGGGGACTGGACCACCTCCCGTCCTCGTTTCCCAGCTAAACACAGAGTAGAGTTGGCAGGAGACTCGGTGGTGAGCGATCTCCATGCAGCCTTGCTGTTGCCGTCCCCTCCCCCGCAGGCAAACACTATGGCGTGTACAGCTGCGAGGGCTGCAAAGGCTTCTTCAAGCGCACCATCCGCAAGGACCTGACCTACTCGTGCCGGGACAACAAGGACTGCACAGTGGACAAGCGCCAGCGCAACCGCTGTCAGTACTGCCGCTACCAGAAGTGCCTGGCCACCGGCATGAAGAGGGAAGGTAAGGGCCCGCCCACCCAGGCTTCCCAGGCTACCCTCAGGGAGGAGGCAGGAGGCAGGAGGGAGGAGGAAGGTTAGGGCCTCTCACCTCTTAGGAAGACTGGACGTTTTCTCTCCTCCAGAGGGCGATATTTGATTTCTCTCCCCTTCTCATCAGCTCTCCTCAAACCCTCATCTGATCCCTTAGTTTCCTTCTTACTGGTTCTGCCTCTGCCTCTGGCCTGTGCCCGTGACCCTGCCCAGGCTGGTGTGAGGGTGGATAACTTTCCTTCCCGTGACGGGCTTCTCTGTGTCCCTCTCTAACCTGAGCAGCCCTTCCTCTCTGACCCAGTGCTCACTCTCTGGTCTCCTCCAAACGCTGGGAGTCCGCTCTCTTAAGCTACAGACTTTTGAAGACCTCAGGGCTACCGCTCCTTTTAAATCTTATCTTCTTCAGTCTGACTCTGGAATTCTGAGAGGCACCTAGAGAGAGTATCTTGATTAAATCTCTCATTTTAGAGATGAGCCCGAGGCCTAGCTCTTCCCAGGCCATGCAGTAAACGAGTGGTAGAGCTGGGATGAGAACTCTCTGAAGACCCAGGCCAGTGCTCCTTCCACTGCCTCTGTGTTGGGTCAGAGAGCACAGGATTTGCAGTCAGGCACTCTTGGATTCAGATGTATGACTTACCATGTATTGTGTGAACTTGGGCAGGCTATTTAATTCTCTAGGCCTGAAATTCTTCATCTTTAAAAATGGAGACAAAAACCTGGCCCGTGTTCCTTGGTGGTTAGAACATTGGCCTGCGCTCCGAAGGGTCCACTGTTCCATTCCCAGTCAAGGGCACATACCTGTGTTGCAGGTTGGATCCCCACCCTAGATGGGGTGGGGCACGTGTGATCAGGATTTAGGGAAGCAACCAATCAGTGTTTCTCTCTCCTCCTTCTCTCCCTCCCTCCCCACCTCCCTTCCACTCTCTAAAAGTCAATGGAAAAAATATCCTTGAGTGAGGATTAACAAAACAAAACAAAAAAAGGAGAAATGGATACAAGAACTCATAGGGTTGTTATAATAGAGTGAATGTTGAAATGTGCTTGGCCCTTATTTAAATGTTAGCTTTCTCCCTAATTCCTTTATCCTCTCCTTCCCTCTCCTTCTTGGTTTATGTGCCCTTTTACAACCCCTGCTTCCAGAGGTCCCTAGTCTCTATTATTTGTAGTGACTCCCCAGTTTCTATAAATATCTCCTAGGGCCATCAGATGCTGGTAAGGCCCTAAGGACACTGCAGAATCTCCTGACAGGCTGCTGACTTTCCACTTTTTGTCCCCTCCCCCTCAGCGGTACAGGAGGAACGGCAACGGGGGAAGGACAAGGACGGGGATGGGGAGGGGGCTGGGGGAGCCCCCGAGGAGATGCCTGTGGACAGGATCCTGGAGGCAGAGCTTGCCGTGGAGCAGAAGAGTGACCAGGGCGTTGAGGGTCCCGGGGGAACTGGGGGCAGCGGCAGCAGCGTGAGTGATGGGGTCAATCCGCTCTCCTTCCTGATGGGGGTGGGGAGTGGGAACCTAGGTCTGTCCTGCCTCTCCACCTCCGCCCCCTCCTCCCCCTCACAACCCTCCTAACACTGCCTGGAACTGGAAGTGCTGCCAAACCAGGTCTCTTAAATGTCTGAGATGGGTGAATGTGTCCTCTGTCCCCCTCCAGACAGCCCACTGGTTGGCAGAACCACAGGCAAGTCCCCAATCAGTGTTCTCACAAATGCCGGGAGAAAAGCCTGACGAGGCCCTGGGAATCCCAGGGGTCGGTCACATGGGGCTTGAAGAGATATACCACGTTGTAGGAGCGGGTGTCAAAGTCTTACAAGGGGAGCTCCCAGCGTACCTCCAAACCTCCCATAACTCTCACCCCGCCTCCCGCAGCCCAACGACCCCGTGACTAACATCTGCCAGGCAGCTGACAAACAGCTCTTCACGCTTGTTGAGTGGGCGAAGAGGATCCCACACTTTTCCTCCTTGCCTCTGGATGATCAGGTCATATTGCTACGGGCAGGTCAGTGACCTTGGGTCCCTTTGACCTCTTGACATTTGACCCTTTTTGACATGACCTTCAGTGGCCCCAGTGCACACTTGCATACTCGAGGAGCCAGGCTCATTGACTTGGCCGCCTTTTCCTCTCTTCCCCTGGTGCGCTTTGAATCCCACGGCCTGATCTCTGGCCCTTGGCCCTTGTTGCTCCCACCCAGGCTGGAATGAGCTCCTCATTGCCTCTTTCTCCCATCGATCCATTGATGTCCGAGATGGCATCCTCCTTGCCACAGGTCTTCATGTGCACCGCAACTCTGCCCATTCCGCAGGCGTGGGAGCCATCTTTGATCGGTCAGTGGCCCTCCGCTGGGCTGGCCTATAGGTAGAGGGGGTGGGGCTATAGGCTGGTCCGTGTCCAAGGCTGGCTGAGCTGTGACCTTTGAGTGACCTGCAGGTCCCTCTCCAGGGTGCTGACAGAGCTAGTGTCCAAAATGCGTGACATGAGGATGGACAAGACAGAGCTTGGCTGCCTGAGGGCAATCATTCTGTTCAATCCAGGTAAGAGGAGGTCATCCCATCTCTCCAGACCAAAGCAACCTTGGAGCCTCCTCTTCTCCGGAGACTCCTAAGTTACCCAGCTCTCCCCTCAGTGAGACCCTCTGCCAGAAATCTCCCACATAACCCAACACATCCCCTGTCCACTAACGCATTCCCCTCCGACCCCTCCCACAAACCCAGTTCCCTGACCGGCATCCGGAGAAGGGCCAGTAGAGGGCCCGGAAGGCAACAGCTGCTCATGTGGGCCACGTCGCCCCGTTTGGGCTGATGTGATGGCCGCCTCCTTCCTCCTCCTCCTCCTCCCCTGCTGTTCCAGATGCCAAGGGCCTCTCCAACCCCAGTGAGGTGGAGGTCCTGCGGGAGAAAGTGTACGCGTCACTGGAGACCTATTGCAAACAGAAGTACCCTGAGCAGCAGGGACGGTGAGGAGGGGTGGGGTGAGGGACTGTGGGGACTGAGGATCCCAGGGGGTGGAGGTGTGTTCAGGGCCTATGCGATCCCAGCTCTCACTCCCGTTCTCGCCCCCACCTCAGGTTTGCTAAGCTGCTGCTACGTCTTCCTGCTCTCAGATCCATTGGCCTTAAGTGTCTAGAGCATCTGTTCTTCTTCAAGCTCATTGGTGACACCCCCATCGACACCTTTCTCATGGAGATGCTCGAGGCGCCCCACCAGCTGGCCTGAGCCCAGACAGACATGGTGCTTCCCACACTCAGGAGTGCACGTCCGAGGGGCTCCGAGCCTGGGCAGGGTGGGGAGGGGCCGTGTGCCCGGAGTGCTGGTGGGGTGAGGACTAGGGAGCAGGACCGAGACCTCCAGGGGATCATCAACCCTCCAAGGGGTTCGCTTGATATCCCAAGTCAGAGGGGACCCCAGACCCTGTGAGAGCTGGACCTCTCCTCAGTGTGTCTGGGTCCGTCCGCCATGGCCGTGGTGCGTCCTCACCAGCCCGGAATGCTCTTCCCAGCACAGAGCACTGGCCTTGCTCCGGGGCCTTGCTTCCTTCTCCCTTGCCTCCCTGGCTCCCTGTCTGGAGAGCGGATATGGGAACTCTCCCAGAGATGGATGTTGGGGGGCAGGCCCCCCATTACTTCCATGATGGACATGGGAGAAAGGCTCCGACAGGCCTTCCTCTCACCACGTCTGGCAGACAGGGCTGCTCTGTCACTGTCCGAGTCACCTCACACGTCACCTCCCGCAGTCAGACTGAGAAAAGGTGGTGGTGGTGAAGGGTGGGTAGGGATGTAGGACCCATCTGCTATTTTTAATTTCCTCTGAGGATAGAGACTTACAGTTAGACTCAAAGAAGTACTGTACGCCCCGCTGACTCGATGCCAGTGGTGGAGGTGGGTTTGGGAAGGCAGGGCCTCCGGGCGGGGGCCTCGGACTCCTGGGGCCCTGGCCTCACCCCTCGCCCATCTCTTCCTGTCTAACGGGAAGGGGCCTGGGCTGCGTGGCAGGGTGTCCCGGCCTGGGCACACCTTAGGCTGGGGCAGCCCGTTTGCACCGAGGGGAGGGGCGGCCTGTGGAGATGGGTGCCGGGCTGCATGATTTTTGCCCTGCAGCTCTTCTCTCCGGGGTTTCTTTCCCTCTTTCCCTCTCGTATAAAACCGCTTTCGAATTAAATACGCTGTTTCTGGCCTGAGGTGACTGGCGTGGACAGTGCTGCGTCTCGCGGGTGTGGGTGTCCGGGCGGCGGGGACCTCCAGACACGCTCCCTTGACACTAACGGTGCCTGAGGCTCCCTGGGGCCCGCGGGCGGCGCAGGGTGGGGACACAAGGCGCCCTTTGTCGGGCGGGGGAGGGGGTGTGCCGGCGGGGGGCGGGGCGGCCGGGAGGAAGGGGGGCGGCGGTTCTCAAAGGCGCCTTGTTCGCTGCGCCCTCCCAGCGCCAGCGGGCGGCGGCGCCTCGCCTGCCCCGTCTCCGTCTCCGTCTCCGTCTCCGCTGCCCGGGCTCCGGCAGACCCGGCGCCGTGCCCGGCCCGGCCGAGGGGCTCCTGGGCGCCTCGGCCACGGGCCGCCCGGAGGGAGGCGGCCTCTTGTCCCTGAGTGACCTGTTCCAGCCCGGCCGCTGCCCCCTCGCTCTCCCTGGGTCCCTGTCCACCTGGGCTCCGGCCCCCCCCCCCCTTTCCATCTCCTGGGACTGGTTACCCGTTTGTCTGCGATCTCTGCCCCTCGCGTTCCCCGAGACCTCTGCCCTGGCCCCCCCAACCCGGTCCCCCCCAACCCGCCCCCCCCCCCCCAGCGCGGGGTGCGGGTCCCCAGCGCTGTCCGCGCCGCGGCTATAAATACCGCCGGCCGCTCTGTCATTACGCGGGCGGGGCGGCCGGGAGGTAATTACGGGGACCCGATGGAGAGGCAGCGACCCCCAGGCCCGCCCATCCCCCCCCCGCACCCAAACCCCACCCAGGACGCTGCCGAAGGAGGGTCCTGGCCCCCAGGAGAGGGTGGGGGGGGGCTGTGACTGCAGGTCTGGGTCCCGGAAAAGGACGGGGCGTGGGGGAGGTACTGGGGTTCCCGAAGAATCGTGGGGTACAGTCCCCTGGTCCTCGCGAGGAGCAGGTCAGGAGGAGCCCCCGCCCGCCCGGCCCAGGTGGAGGCGGGGTGGGGTTTGGCGGGTGTGGGCGGCGGCCGGGGGCGGGGGCTGGCCGGGGGCGGGGGCGCCGTGGGGGCTCCGGCCGCCGGGGTGGCCGGGGACACACAGGAGCGGCGGCCGCCGAGGAGGGAGCAGCGGAGCCCCGACGGCGCCTCGCTGCATGGAGCTGGGCCGCTGAGCGCCGCCAACCCCAGCCTCTCCCCGGGACCGGCGCGGCTCAGCGGGGCTCACCGCTTGCTCCCCTGCAGCCCGCGCCGTCCGTCCGTCCGTCCGTCCGTCCGGCCATGGAGCGGTGCGGCCGCCTCCTCCTGCTCCTGCCGCTGGTGCTGGGGCTGAGCGGGGCCCCGGCCCGGGCAGGTAGGCGCCCCGCGCCCCGGCCCTGGCGTCGGGCTGGAGCCCCAGGACCCGCCGGGACAGCGAATGCCTGGGGCGAGCTTCTGATCCCGCCGGGGCTCCGGGGACCAAAGGTCCGGGTGGAGGGCAGGACCCTGGACCCCGGTGCCAGCGTAGGCTCCTTTCCACTGAGCTGACGGGAGGGCAGCTGAGGCTGAGGTGGGGCTTCAGCTTAGAGGGCCATGGGGGGCTGCTGCTGGGGTCCTGGCGAGAGCGCAGCGGCCAGGCCGTGGGGTCCAGCCTGCGGGCGAGGGGAGATGGATGGTGACGGGGGTGTGCATGTCTTCGGGACTCTATCCATGTCCTGGGGCCCAGGGGAGCATCCGTGCCGGTCAGAGCAGAGCCAGTCCGCAGAGAGAGGGGGTGCCTGGGCTATTTTTTCCGTTGGATCCCCTTCCCCCTCCCTGTGCCCTCGATGCTGCCACGCGGCTGGCTCTGGGGAGCACTGGGGCTGGCTGCCAACAGGACGGCCGCTGGACGGAGGGGGATCAGGTGTCTGAGGTGGGAGCCAACCCTTCGCATTCCTGCCCCGCCCCTCCCCCTCTGGCCAGCCGGGCTCTCCTGGGACCCCGGTGTCCACAACCCCAGCCTTTTCCTCCTTTTCCCAGGACCCAGGGCTCCTGGCGCCTAGGAGAGGGGGTTTGATGGGGTGGGGGGGGGGCGGTGAGAAGGACTGAGAGCACCTGGGTGCTAGGTCGGTTGAGCAAGCCGCCCCCCACTCCTGGAAACTGGAGACTGATTTGCATATAACTTGACTATTCATTTCTCCTCGGCTTTGGAAAGAAAGCGGTCAGAGTAGCAGCAGAAAGGACTTAGACCAGATCGCAGAAGGAGGAACTTCCCAGCCGAGCCGTGTGAGCTCAGGGACGGGAGCGAGTGCGCAGTGTCTAGGCTCCAGGGTCTTTTTTGGGGGAAGGGACCTCGCGCAGGGAGGTGGGAGATGCTGAGAAGGTGGAGATGGGACTCCACAGGCGAATTCAGAGAGTAAGGAGGGGGCCCTGGGGCCCCGAGGTGGCGTGGAGGGGGCGATGGGGCTGCTGGGGAGCTGGTAGGGCAGTTGAGGCCGGAGATCCTGGGGCAGCGATGAGCCGAGGTGAGGAGACAGGTGGGCAGCGTGGAGTCCCCTGGAGGACGGAGCTGCCCTTTGCGGGGGAGGGTGGACGCGGCCTCCGAGGTCTCTGGCCTGGGGTCTCTGAGTCTCTGTGTCTCTCTCACTCACCGCTGCTCAAAGCGGCCCTTGTGTGCTGGTGTTTGCGGAGCTGCCACACGCAGGGCCGGGCTCGGGTGGGGGTGAGGTGGGGGGGCAAGGCCGCGGTTTCCCGGCTCCTGGACTCAAAGGGCCTTTTCTCTGCCTGCCGGCACCACCTCAGCCACCCCGCCCAGCTCGCTCTCCAGACCGCTCTGCCTGCCCGGCCCTGCTTCTGTGAAGGTTCAGCAGGAACTTTCTTTGGGGCTTTTCCAAGCTGGAGCTGGTGGTGTGAGGAGTGTGAGCAGTGGGAGCCAGAAGCGGGGTGGTGCCCTCTGACTCCCGAGTCTCAGCCCGAGGAAGCCGGTGGCCTGGGTCCTGGGTGCTGAGGGGCGGGGGCGGGGGGGACAGGGTGGGAGTTCCAGGTGTGGGGAGCTCACTGGGTTTTGGGCAAGGACTCTGATGGGATCCACAGATGTGTGGCTCGGAGCCCTGGACTCGCTCTGGCTCCCCGTGGCAGCTGCACGCTCCCCTCCACCCCCCTCCCCAGCCGTCCCTCAAGCTAGGACACTGGCCTGGAGGTTCTTTCTGGCGTCCCTGCCTCTTGGGGCGGGGGGGAGCGACCCCACCTCCCTGTCAGGCGGCTGCAGCCGTTTGAAGCCTGCTCCCCGCGGGGCGCCCCTCTGCCCCCCCCCCCCTGCGCCCTGCGCCTGCAGTGCCCAGGGTGATCGATTGCCCAGATGTTGTTTGTGCTGGAGACGTGGGCTGAGGCCAGAGACCCAGAGACCCAGAGATACAGACAGGCAGCGAGAGGGAGAAGGCCCAGGAAAGAAAAAGGGGGACAGTGTGAGGGGTGTGGAGGAGGATGGAAAAGACAGGGAGACAGAAGACCAACAGATACAGAGACGAAGAGGAAGAGACATAGTGAGGGAAAGACGGGGAGGTGGGTGGAGAGTTGAGAGAGATTCCTAGGCAGAGACAGGGAGAGCAGGGGGAGCATGAACACAGGTCCCCGCTGTGCTCCTGCGGCGGTTCCAGGCTCCATCCATCAGGAGCAGGTGAGGGCGTGTGAGCCCAGGCGTTGAGTTCCGCACCACAGAGTCCCCCCTAGGCCCTCTGAGGCGTGTCCCTCCCCCTGACCCGCCTGCCCCCCCCAGGTGCGCCCCCCGTGGATGTGCTCCGGGCCCTGCGCTTCCCCTCCCTCCCTGATGGTGTCCGGAGGGCGAGAGGCGTGTGTCCCGCTGACGTGGCCTACCGAGTGTCTCGACCTGCTCAGCTCAGCGCTCCCACCCGCCAGCTCTTCCCAGGTGTGGGCGACGGGGGAGCAGGGGAGCGGGGCTGGGCATAGGGGGTCTGAGATTAGACACCCGAGGGAAGGGGGTTCTGGCTCTGTTCGCCGTTCACTCCCCTGCGTGTGTCTCTCTCGGGTCCTAGGAGGTTTTCCCAAAGATTTCTCTCTGTTGGCTGTGGTCCGGACGCGCCCTGGCCTCCAGGCTCCCCTCCTGACGCTCTATAGCGCCCAGGGCGTCCGGCAGCTGGGCCTGGAGCTCGGCCGGCCCATCCGCTTCCTGTATGAGGACCAGACTGGCCGGCCTCGGCCTCCAGCTCAGCCCGTCTTCAGAGGCCTCAACCTAGCAGATGGCAAGTAAGTTAGTGTGTTCCTCGGCTCTGCCCGGCCTGCACTGCCAGGAACTCCCCGTGGCCACTGCCCAGGGCCCCTGCTCCCTAAGCTAGAAAACCCTGCCCAGCCTTTGGCCACAAGCACCTGCCCGCTGCCCAGACTTCAGTCACTTGTGGCTCAGAGTGTAAATCCTGGGTGTGGTGCTGGCCTGCACCTCGGACAAGTTCCTTACCTTCCTGTGCCTCCATTCTGTGTTCGAAAGAGAGGGATAATGCAATCAAGAGAAATGCATTTCTTGGTGCCGGGTGCGTTGTAAGTACTCGATGAGTACTGGCTGCTGTGATCACTATTAATATTGGCCCTGATCCTTCCCTCAGCTGCTCCCAGCTCTTAGACCTCCCCTCCTCAGTCAGTCACATGCCCCTCTCCCACCATGACCAGGTGGCACCGTGTGGGTGTGGCTGTGAAGGGCCAGTCTGTCACCCTCATTGTTGACTGCAAGAAGCGAGTCACCCGGCCCCTCCCCCGAAGTGCTCGCCCGGTGCTGGACACCCATGGCGTGGTCATCTTTGGAGCCCGCATCCTGGATGAAGAAGTCTTTGAGGTAACCAGGGCAACCAGAAGACAGAGTGATTTCTGGCCCCGTATCTTGTGTCCATTATCCTTCTGGCCCCAGCATGCCATTTTCCCATGCCCTAGCTCAGTGGTCCTCAAACTCATTAGTCCACAGAGCCAAATATCAACAGGACAACGATTGAAATTTCTTTTGAGAGCCAAAAATTTAAAACTTTATAGGTAAGTACATTGTTATTAATTTAATTAGGGTACTCTTAACTCACCTTTGCTAAAAATTCAAGGGGCCAAAGAGCCACATGTGGCTCACAAGCCGCAGTTTGCCTACCACTGCTCTACCTTTTCATTTTTCCTCTCTTGAATGTATAGTTCCATTTCCTGTCCAGGGCTAATTTTCTCTTAGGAGATCTAGGTGTCCACTTATATTGCAGGACTATCCACTCATTTTGTCACTCAGTCTTCATCACTCTGCCCATCCATCATTCAACCAATCTCTCTACCACTCATCCTTCACCCACTCACCTGTCTGTCCAGTTACGCAGTCACCCACCTATTCAAGCATCCAGGTTTGCATCCATCCATCTGCCCATCCTTCCCCTCCTGCTCAGCCACTTACTCCTTCAATCCATTTAGCTATCAATCTGTCCTTTCATCCATCTGTCCTCTTTAACCCATCCGTCCATCTACTTACTCATCCATCCACACACCTACCCCATCTACCCATGCATATAAGAATGCATGCAACCATTGATCCACCATTTACACAACCACCTCCTCACCTACCCACCCTCCATCCAACCATTCATTTATCTACATATTCACTTCTATCTACCTACCCACCAATCTGATTCCATCTATTCACCAACTTCATTCATTCATTCATTCATTCATTCATTCATTCATTCATTCCACCATCCATCAACCTTCCAATTCAGTCATGCATTTGAACCCTCATTCACTCACCTACCCACCCACCAGGCTAGTCAGTTAACATTTTCTGAATACCTGCTTATCAATGCCAAGGGGAAAACAGAAGAATAATATAAGGTTTCTATCATTCCAAGGAGATGAGCCAGTATCTCCAAACAAGGCAGGTTGTGTTAAGCACCACATGTGAGCATAAACAAAAGCCATCGGGACCCCCTTCCCTCATTTCTAGAGGTCCTGAGACTTCCCATCATTACTGCCAGTGGAAGGTCAAAGCTAAGCTGGGCCACTGTCTCCAGAAGCCCCTGTGACAAGGCTCAGGCAACCCCCCCAGGGCAGGGGCACAGGCAGAGTTGGACGGGATTCTAGTTCTGACTGTACCGCTGTGAGTGACCTTGGGCCAGCCATTGCCTCTGAGCTTTTCAGAATGGAATGTGTCTGAAAGTGGCATAAAGACCCTGCCACTGGCTTTCCCCGTGGTTGTGACGGTCCAATGGGAACTGGACAGGGCTGTGCCATGGAGGGCCGGTAATGACCTTCCATTATGTAGTTTACCTGGGACTGGCCTCCTGCCTTTTGTCCCGGACTGTATGTACCCTTTGTCTTGCTCTGAAGCCCTTTCTGTCTCCTTCCATTGGCATCCCTTCCTCGTATCTGTACAGGGTGACATCCAAGAGCTTGTCATTGCTCCGGGGGTGCAAGCTGCCTATGGATCCTGTGAACAGAAGGAGCTGGAGTGTGAGCGGGACTGGAGGGAGAGGCCTCAGAAACAACAGTCTCACCGAGCACAGAGGTCTCCAAAGCAGCCATCAGCGAGACTTCACAGGCCCCAAAACCAGGAGCCCCAGAGACAGGTGAGGGAGTTGGGTGGACCCCAAACTGCAGTCTCCCCCTCTCCCAGGGAGGGAAGATTCCCAGATATCTCCCCAGAGGAAATCCCCCAATGTTCAGAGCTCTCCATTCTTTTTGGGCTCCTTTTAGCCCTTTCCTTATGCCCACCCCCAGTCATACCCCCCTATTCCCATCACTCACCCCCAGTCCTCATTCATCAACCTTTTTATTTTCACTTAAAAATAAAAAGTTGTTATGAAGAACTCATGGCTGGGAGCTGTGTCCCCTCCTTGTGTCTCCTCTGCCAGTCTTCCTGGACTATGCCGTTGGGTTTCCCACCCTTCCTTGAATTAAGAGATTGGGAGAGAGGGTGCGGGTGGGACTTGGGGACAGAGGAGGGAAGGGCTGATTAGGGGAGAGACAGAAACAGGGAGAAAGAAGCTGCAGTGGAAAGACCTAGGAGGAGAAATGGGGGAGGGAGAGAAGAAAGAGGGAATCCCAAAAGGGTGGTGAGTCTGTGGAAGGGGGGTGGGGCCATCTCTGGCCTCTGCACACGGAGGTGCAGGGTAAGGGGCTGGGTGGGAGGAGGACAAGAAGATTCCGGGTTGGTGGAGCTTTGAAGGTTAGGGTGACAGATATGATCTGGGTCAGTAGTCTAAAGTTGAAGCATCAATCTCTTAATTATGTCTGCTTCTGTCTCACCTGCGGGACCCATCTCCCCTTCCTGCCTCTCCCCATCTCTCTCCTGTCCCCCAACCTCTCTTTTCATCCCCAACTCTGTTTTGCAATTCCTCCCCTACCTCATTTCCCAATCCCATACCATCTCACCTCCCTCGTCCCCCCCTTCATTCGCCCCCCCCCCCCCCCCGCCTTCCTCCTATCCCACTGCCCCTCCCCGGACCCCAGCCCACTGAGCCTCTCCACTATGACTACGGGCCCCTCTATTACGATGAGATGACTGCGGGGACAACCCCTGACTACCAGGTAAACTGGAGGGACCCCTCCTTTCTCCCGTCCCCCCACCACATCTCTGACCCCCAGTTCAAGGAGAGAAGCCATGCATTTAGATTATGGGAGTCTCCTCACTGTCGCCTCCCATGTCTCTGCTGCAGCGGCCTCGGAGCCCCAACCACAGGGCTCCCGCTTCCCCCAGGGGGCGTCGCACCCCACCCCGAAAGCCTACCCCACCTGCTAAGAGGTCCGCAGCCCGGCAGGCATCCCCCTCATCAGGCTGGAGACCCTCTCGAATTGGAGGTTCTGGGCCAGCGTGGGGCCAGCCTTCCCTCTCCCGGCGCCCAGCTCGACGGGCAGCTCCCCACACTGCCCGGGCCCCCCCCAGGACCAGAGGCAGCAGTTACCGGCAGGTAGAGCCGGGGCATCCAGATCTCTGCCCCCAAATCTTTATGACCTGGGAGAGTCATTCTCCCTCAACTGTCCTAAGGGGCTGCAAGATCTGCGATTTCCCCCACCCCCCACACAGAGAGACACTGCCCCAGCGAGGGACACAGTGCTGCTTCGCCTTCCTCTGGCTAACCTCTCTCCTTCCTTCCACCCCGTCCCCCCGCCCCCATACTCTGCTCCTCTCCCCTTGGGATTAGTACCCCACCCCAGGAGAAGAGGAAGGAATCCTGGAGTCCAGCCCCTTGCCACCCCCTGAGGAGGTAACTCCACCCCACCACCCAGCGGGGGGAGCAGGGGGGGGCTGTGACCCACCCCTCAGGCCCCCTGTCATCTGGATGAGTCAGTCCCCTCCGGCCGGAGGGCTCTTTGTCATACCCACTTACGGCCTTCTGTCTCTGGTCCTCCTAGCCCAATGGGTCTGCTCGCCTCTCCCTCTCAGTACAGCCATTTTCCTTGGTGTCCTTGTCTCCTTTCATTGTTTCTTGATTCTGGAGTAGCTTCCTCTTCATGTTGGTGTCAAATGGTTTTACTTCCCGTGTCATGTTCTGTTCCTAGGAGCCACTTTCTGTCCAGTGCTGTCTTTTCTTCTACCCTTCTTTCCATCATGTTTTTGGTCACTCCCTGGACTCTGCTGTCTATCTTATGTCCATGGACTGTCCGCTCTGTGTCCAGCCCTCCGGCCACCCTTCTGGTTGTGCACCACTTCTTCCACCAAGCCCGTCTGCCGGACATCTCTCCCGATTCTGGTCTTTGATGGCCATCGCCTTTCCACACAGCTGCTCCCCTTGCTCTTCTTGGGAGAGAAACTCCAGTCCTAGTCACCCTCAGGATCCTTTGGGCGAGGAGTTGTCACACCTGGGGTCCAGGGGGAAACTCCTCTCAGCCCTAACGCCCCCGTCTACCCCTCTCCCTCCCCATCCCCATCCCCGGGAAGGAGCAGACAGATCTCCAGGTCCCCTCCACAGCTGACAGGTTCCTGACAGAGGAATATGGGGAGGGTGGCACAGAGCCCCCAGCAGGGCCCTACGATTACACCTATGGCTATGGGGACGATTACGGTGAGGAGACGGACCTTGGCCCTGCCCTCTCTGCGGAGACAGCCCACCCCGGAGCCGTAAGTGAAAGGCGCTCCTCCTGTCTTCGTGGCCTCCCGTGGAGCCGCAAGAATCTCTTCTTGTTTCTGATCGCTGTCTGTCGGCTCTGAGCTGCTTCCCACTGGTGGTTTGCCGTTTCTGTCCACAGAAGATGTATGTGTTGCTTGAACATCTTCCTTCCTTCCTTCCCTTGTGCAATATCTTACCCTGTGACTCCTTATGCATCCTTCTGCCCAGGGCAATGAGATTTAAAATATATATATTATGGCCACTTCCTGTCTTTTTGGTCACTTCCTGTCTCAATCAAGCTGGATTTCATAAAGCTTTTGGTCAATAAGGTAAGGACCTTATGCCCATTTTCAGTCTGTCTCCATCGTTTCTTCTTGACAAAACAATTTTTTTATCCATGTTGCTGCCACGTATCTCACTTTCTAACCTGTCTGTCCCTTCCGGTCTTCTCCAGCCCTGCCATTGTCTTGGTGACTGTGCCATATTGGATAGAAAGGGACTTACTGTTTGTATTTCGACTCTAGCTTTTCATGCTTTCTGTGACAATTTCCTTTGATAATGAGCTACTTCCAGTGTGTCTCAGGCCATCCAAATCATAAAGGGTCCGTTGTGGGCCTGGATATTTATCATGACCACTTCCTGTGTGTTCTCACTTTGCTGCTTGTGTTTTCTGAAGAATTGTCTTGCATTGTCATCAGCTCCTATCCAGGACTCACTTTCTATCTGTTTTGTGAATTTCTCCCATTGGTCATGGTAGCCAGGTTGTTATTGAAGGTCCACTTTTTGAAGTCTCTTTTCTTGGCTGCTTCCTGTCTATCCAACCACTTCCTGTTTGTTCAGTTCACTTTCTAGCCATTTTGGCCAGGTTTAATTTTTCTTGGCCCTGGCATCATTCTTGCTTCCAAGTGTTTGTCCCTTCATTCTGTCTCCCTTAATTGTTCCCCGTGTCTCCAACCACTCCCTCTTAGATGGGGCATTTCCTGTCTACGCTACTGCATCTTTGGCCTGTCTTGCAGTTAGAGCTGCCTTCTCTGTCCTGCTGCATCGTCCCACATTTCCTTTCTCTAACATCGCCACCCTTCACCCTCTGCTGTCTTGCTTTTATGCTGCTTTCTGGAAATGTGAGGTTACGCTGTAATATGGGAGAGTTTGGAAATTACTGTCGGTCAGGATGGAGACGGGGGGTGGGGGGGGGAGGGCATTCCGATGGGAGAGTTGCGGGTGGTGGTGAATGTCCTCTGTTCTCCCTGTCCTTGTCTTGGTTCTGGCCCCGGAGTTGGGGGTGGACACCTGAATGGAAGTGTGGAAGAGGGGCAACTGCTAGGCTTGGCGTACAAATGAGCACCAGGGTGAGAGTTTAGTGTCCTTGATGAGAGAGGAACTGTGGGGACTTGAGGGAGATCTGCTCTGAGGCTTGACCAACTTAGCCCAAGAGCTGTATTTTTTTTTGTTAATCCTCGCCTGAGGACATTTTTCCATTGAATTTTAGTGGAAGGGAGAGGGAAAGACAGAGAGAAACATCCAGGTGAGAGAAATGCATCCATCGGCTGCCTCCTGCATGAGCCTGACAAGAAGTACATGCTCTTGACAAGAATTGAACTTGGGACCCTTTGGTCTGCAGGCTGACGCTCTATCCACTGAGCCAGGCCAACTAGGGCAAGAGCTGTATTTTTAAAAATATATATATTTTATTGATTTTTTACAGAAAGGAAAAGAGAGGGATAGAGAGTTAGAAACATCGATGAGAGAGAGACATCGATCAGCTGCCTCTTGCACAACCCCTACTGGGGATGTGCCCGCAATCAAGGTACATGCCCTTCACCGGAATCTAACCCGGGACCTTTCAGTCTGCAGGCCGACGCTCTATCCACTGAGCCAAACCGGTTTTGGCAAGAGCTGTATTTTTTTTAAGAACCTATTATGGGGTGGAAGTTTCAGATATCGGTGGGGATTGCCCTCCAAATCTACTTAGAGTATGGATGTTTTACCTCCAAGAAGTTTTTAAGCTTATGAACTCCTTGAAATTCTAGGGAAAATTCTGTGCATAAGGGCATACATTTTTTTTCTTTTCTGAAGATTATAGATTACAGCATATTCTCATATGGATCCATACTCTCCCTTCAAACTCTAATAAAAATCTATCCATAATCTTGGAGAGATTTTTATTTGGTGGGTTGGAGTAAGGGTGCAGAAGTTGATGGTTTCTTAAAGTTCTAGGGATTCTTGGGGTCAGAGAGAGTATGGGGGTAGGGTGGGGTCCTCCAGAAGAAGGTTAGGGCTTTGGATTCCCAGGAAACATGTGGGACTTTCCTGAAAGAAGTTCTCAGGGAGTTGAGGAGGTTGTCTTTGCTGAGGTGGGGCTGAGAATTGGGGTGTGGGGAGCCCTGAGGTCTCCTTGGCAAGCCTGGGGTCTGTGAAGAGAATCTGGGGGAGGGACCGGGTTGGAGGTAGGCTCAAGGAGGCCTCCAGAAGACCTGAGAATGAAGTGGGGAGGTGGGATGGGCGGAGTCCCCGTGTCCTGGCTGCTCACAGGCCCCACTGGGGGTTACATGTGTGTTTCCCTCAGGCTGCCCATGGACCCCGGGGGCTGAAGGGAGAGAAGGGGGAGCCTGCAGTTCTGGAACCTGTAAGTCACTCTGGCCATTGAGCTGAGGGCAGTGGGCAGAAGGGAAGAAGGCAGGTGTGCTAGTCCTGTGGCCTCTGACTCTTGACGTTTGACTCTGTAGGGAATGCTAGTGGAGGGGCCTCCTGGCCCAGAAGGCCCTGCGGTGAGTCTGTACACTCTTTCATCCGTGTCTTCCCCATGTATGCCCAGGCCTCCTTCTCAGAACTCCAGAGCATTCTTCCAATCTGAGCTCTCTCTGCTGTAGAGACCACCCCTCAGCTACATCCCCTTTTCTCTCTGAATGCCCACAGCTGACCCCTTACTCTTTTGTTCCTCAGGGACTGACTGGTCCCCCTGGCATCCAGGGCAACCCAGGCCCAGTCGGAGACCCTGGCGAGAGGGTAAGGGAGTGTCTTCTGTGTGGGAGGGGGCACTGCAGAGGAGCCACTAAAGTGATTTCTCATTAGCTGGCTGATCAATGAACAGGGACTGGTGTGCTCCCCAGCGCTTGCAAAGTAGGGCAGACTGGTTGGGGAGGACAGTGGTCTTGGGTCTTACCCTGACTTTTCTCCAGAGGGCTGGGGTGAGGCTCAGGCAAGATCTAGGGAAGTCTGCATTTGTCCTGTTGAGGAGGGTTCCCAGAGGATTCTAGGCCTAAGACTCCCCTATCTGTCACCTACCCTCCTCATTCTCTCCCACTCCAGGGTCCTCCCGGCCGGGCAGGGCTCCCTGGATCAGATGGGGCACCTGGCCCTCCCGGCACATCCCTCATGCTCCCGGTGAGTTGTCTTCTGGGCTTTGGAAGAGGCGGTGGGGGAGGGCAGGGGATTGTGCTGTGTCACCGAGAACCAGGAGGTCATGAAAGCTGAGGAGTCTCTAAAGACCATCAGTGCAAAGAAATGGATCTCTCGGTGGAGGTGACGAGGTCCTCATTAGATGACCTAGAACCCAATATGATCTAGAGTCAAGCTTGGATCGTCTAGAGTGGAGCAGGACATTCTATATTTCGGGGGTCTAGAACCAAAGGAGAGTCTTTTTGGAGGAAGAGGCTAGGCATCGGGGGAGGAGGACAGAAGCTGAGTTTCTGAAAACCTCTCAGTGATTATCTGAACACCTCCACTGGAAGATGCTGGAAGAGGGCATGGGGCGGCGTGTGTGTGTGTGTGTGTGTGTGTGTGTGTGTGTGTGTGTGTCAGCCTGGGAGCTGGAGCAGAAATGCTGGAGGACCTCTGGCTGGAAGGTCCCAGGGATTTCCTGGAAAGAACTGGGCCTTCTCTCCTTGCCGTCAGTTCCGGTTTGGCAGTGGCGGGGGTGACAAGGGCCCTGTGGTGGCCGCCCAGGAGGCTCAGGCCCAGGCGATCCTGCAGCAGGCGCGGGTGAGTAGGGCTGGAGAGCATGGTGGTGGGGGTGGGGGGAAGGGAAGACTCTAGCAGGGTTGGGAGGGTAGGCTGGAGGGATAGGGGGAAGGGGAAGGTCTGGGCTGCTTTGGGGCTGAGAGGGAGGTCGGAGCACGTAAGGCGGTAAAACACAGGTTAGGAGTGGGAGGGTGAGTTTAGAGGGTGTCCTGGGGAGGGAGTTTCCAGCTGCCCCTTCTCACCTCTGCTGTGTCTCCCGTCCCCTAGATGGCGCTCCGTGGACCCCCTGGACCCATGGGATACACAGGTCGCCCTGGACCTTTGGTGAGCGAAGGGGGGTGGGGTAGGAGGTTCTTTTTGTGTGTGGGGCATGGACAGTTCTGGAAAGGGCCCAAATTCAAAGTCATTTTGCTTTTTTGGGGAGGTTTTGGGGTCACTGTTGGAGATGTCCTTCCATATAGCCAACTTCTCTCTCTCACAGGGACAACCTGGGAGCCCTGGTCTGAAGGGAGAGTCTGGAGACCTCGGACCTCAGGTGACACCCTGCACCCCTCTGATCCCCAACCCAGTGCCGCCTCCTCCCCTGTCTGTGCCCGTTAACCCTGACCTCAACTTTCCCTCCCCAGGGCCCCAGGGGACCTCAGGGCCTCACCGGGCCTCCCGGCAAGGCTGGGCGAAGGGTGAGTGACTGAGTGTGGGCGGGCCAGGTGGGAGATGGCACCGAGGTGGAGGGCTGGCCCCTGCTTGTTCTGACGCTTCCTTTGCATCTGCAGGGCCGGGCGGGTGCTGACGGAGCCCGAGGGATGCCTGGAGAACCTGGCGTGAAGGTGACAGCTGGCCTTCCTCTGATGCTCAGCTCAGCCCTCTGAGCTCATCATCCCAGGAGGCCTGGGGTCCCTGGCTCCCTCAGGAAGTGCCCCCCCCCCAGGGCACTAGGGGGTGGGGTGGGAAGGGGCCTGGGGCTTCACGTGGCCGCCCCTCTCCCCTAGGGTGACCGAGGCTTCGATGGGCTCCCAGGCCTTCCCGGCGAGAAGGGGCGCCGGGTGAGTAGTGGGGCAGGGGAAGTTGGAGAGGGCCGGTGTCTGTGCTGGGAGCTCTGAAGCCCCTTCCCTGTTTCCCAGGGCGAGACTGGTGCCCACGGCCTCCCCGGGCCCCCTGGCGAGGACGGAGAGCGGGTGAGTGTGGCTGGGCCGGGCCGGGCTGGCCTGGGGGAGGCTGGGAGGCGAGGCACTTCACCGTCCTCCTCCTCCAGGGGGACGACGGGGAGATCGGGCCTCGGGGGCTGCCTGGAGAGTCGGTGAGTGTCCAGGGGTGGGGGTGCGGGAGGGGAGGGCAGGAGGGTGGAGGCAGGAGGGTGGGGGCTCTGGGAGGGCATAGGTATGAAAGAGACACTCATGCGTGCCTTGTCCTCTCCTCGCCGAGCGTAGGGGCCTCGAGGTCTCCTTGGCCCTAAAGGCCCGCCTGGTATTCCTGGCCCCCCGGTAAGTGACTGCCCCTGACTCCTGACCCTGGTCTCACCCCCTGACTTCTCATCTTCCTGGCTGCCCCACCTCCCCTCCCGTTCCCCCTCCAGCCTCTCCCCAGGGGCCCTTTATGGCCTTCTGGTGTGGGGCACCAAAGGCTCGGAGAAGAGCCAGAAAAAAAATCATCAAGAAAAACAAAACAAAAACCCACAGCCCCACAGCCCCACAGCCCCACGCCCTGCGGCTCTGGGCCGGCTGTGTGCTGAGGTCTGGGAGGAACGGAGGACTGTCCGGTGCCTCTGCCCGTCCCACCCGCTCCCTCGGGGACGGCCCGGCCTCCGGGAAACCACAGGGCTCCGGGGCGGCCGCCTCCCGATCACACCCCTCTCGTGTTCCAGGGTGTGCGCGGCATGGACGGTCCCCACGGCCCCAAAGGGAGCTTGGTGAGTGATGGCATGGCCACTCCACCCGGCCCTGGGCCTGCCAACCCTGCTGAGCCCTGCCTCTGGGTCTCGCCCTCTGGGTCCTCCTGCCCGCTCCTCCCCGTCTGACTGGCCACCGCCTCCTCTGACCCTGCCTGCTGCCTGTTTGTAGGGACCCCAAGGGGAGCCAGGGCCTCCCGGACAGCAGGGAACGCCTGGCACCCAGGTGAGTGGTCTGCCCGCCCCTCTCCGCCTTCAGCGGCTTCCCTGGGCTTCCCCGTGGTCAGACCTGAGTGGGGACCGGAAGTGCAGGGTCTCCAGTCCTCGCTGCTCGTGCTCTGAGGGGGGTGCTGGCTGCAGGAGAGAGCGCCCCCACCTCGGGGCCCCTGTGACTTCTCTCTCCCCGCGTACAGGGTCTCCCGGGGCCTCAGGGTGCGATCGGCCCTCACGGCGAGAAGGTGAGCCTAACCGCTGTGGGAGCAGGGCTGCCGGGTGGGTGTCGGGAGGCCCGTCTGGCTGGGACTGAGCCCTCGTGAACCTGGACCTCCCCGCCTCCCGCAGGGCCCCCTCGGGAAGCCAGGGCTCCCCGGCATGCCTGGCTCCGATGGACTCCCGGTGAGTGCACCCACTTCTTGTCCCAAACACCCCTTGGCCTCCCACCCCACTGAGCGGCCTCCAGGGCCCGCAGGGACCGTCCATCCCTGTCCCTGCACTGGGAGGTCACCGTGGCACCTGCCGGGTCAGCTGGCTCCGTCAGCTCACGGGCGTTCGGGGTGAAGGAGTGTAGAGGGTGAGGAAGGTGAAGGGACCAGCAGTCACATTCTTCTTCCTGCCCCAGGGCCACCCTGGGAAGGAAGGCCCCCCAGGAACCAAAGGAAACCAGGTGAGCCTCCCACCCCCCCACCTTCCGGGGCGCTCCCCCAGCCTGGGCCTCAGGTCCCTGGGATTCCTCGTCTCGTCATGAACGAGGCTCTGAGTGTTTTCTCCCACGTCACTTCCGATTTCCCACGCCCCGAGGCCGCCAGGACGGCACCCGACCCCTTTACCGATCCCTCTGTCCCCGACCCCTTTACCGATCCCTCTGTCCCCGACCCCTTTACCAATCCCTCTGTCCCCGACCCCTTTACCGATCCCTCTGTCCCCGACCCTCTGTCCCCGACCCCTTTACCGATCCCTGCCTTCCTCCAGGGCCCCTCTGGACCTCAGGGTCCTCTCGGGTACCCCGGACCCCGAGGTGTCAAGGTAAGACCACAGCCAGGAGATAGGGGGCTGCTTTCGGGGGGCCAGGCAGGGCCTGGGACCCCGTCCCTGACCGCTGTCTCTGCGCCCTGTCTGACTCCAGGGTGTGGACGGAATTCGGGGCCTGAAGGGTCATAAGGGTGAAAAGGTGAGCAATGTGCCCCGACTTCCCAACACCCCCATTCTGCCTCCTCCAGCCTCTCTGTCCCCTCCTCCTCACCCGCCCCTCCTGCTGCCCCTGCTGCCCTCTGGCTCCGGACACCCACCTTCCACGCGCGGTCTCCAGAACCCTCCGTCTCAGCCTCCCGACCCTCTGTCATCGGGGGTGTCCTCTCCCACTTTCTTTAGGGCGACGATGGCTTTCCTGGGTTCAAAGGTGACATGGGTGTGAAAGGTGACAGGGTGAGTAGAAGCCCCACACTGCCCCCCAGTCCGGGTCCTAACGATCCTTCACTCTGGAGCCCCCGGCCGATCCCTTTGACGCCCGGGTGGGCCCCGTCTCCGGTCCCTGCACCCGTTAGGCCGGACCCCAGCAGGGTACCAGCCCCGCAGCCCGAGTCCCTCCGATCCCAGCAGTCTCCCCGCCATGGCCCCTGGCCTGCAACGGCTTCTGGGACCCCTGCCGCCCTCAGCCACTGGGGCCTGCCTCCCCCCTGGGGCCCAGCCCACCCACACCCTGACCCTCACCTTCACCCTCTCGCGCAGGGCGAGGCTGGAGTCCCTGGTTCCAGAGGAGAGGATGGTCCCGAGGGGCCGAAGGGCCGCACTGGGCCCACCGGAGACCCTGGGCCCACGGGGCTCGTGGGCGAGAAGGTGACAGGGCGGGACCGGGGTCCGCTCTCCGGGCCTGGGGGCAGGGCGGGCAGGCCGTGCATTCGTTGTGCTCCTCCTGTATGCGCACCTCCTGGGCGCTGGTGGGTTGAGGCTGGTGGGTGAGAAGCCAGGGAAAAGCCCCGTCCTGAGGCGCTGACAAGGTTGATGGGGACGAGGCCGAGCTGCCCTGGGTGACTGAGGCGCAGGGCAGAGGGCACAGGCGTTCGGGGAGGAGAGGCGGGGTGGTGAGCGGGCTCGGCCGTCAGACAGGGCGGCCTCGCAGAGCCCGGAGGTGAAGCTGCTCCCTCCTTACAGCCGGGGAGGGCGGGCCCGGCGGAGCCAGGCCGCAGGGTTGGAGTCCCTGCTCCCAAGCGCAGCCCACAGCTGCCTGGACCACAGCCTGCAGCTTCGGAGGCTGGGTGCTGGGGGCTGAGGGAGGGGTGCGAGCGGAGCGGAGGCAGAGGTGTCCCCAGCTGTGTGGAGGCTGCAGGGGCAGGGGCGGAGCAGGGGCAGGGGCAGGGCAGGGGCAGGGGCAGGGCAGGGGCAGGCACAGGGGCAGGGGCAGGGGCAGGGGAGGGGAGGGGTAGGGAAGGGGCAGGGACAGGGGCGGGGCAGGGAAGGGGTAGGGAAGGGGCAGGGGAGGGGCAGGGCGGGGCAGGGGCAGGGCAGGGGCAGGGGCAGGGGTGGGGCAGGGCAGGGGCAGGGGCAGGGCAGGGGCAGGGGCAGGGCAGGGGCAGGGGCAGGTGGAGCCAGGTTGACAGGCAGGGACCAGGTCACAGCCCCCAGGAACCTGACTGAGTGGCAGACACCGGGAGGGGAGCTTACAAGCAGGCAGCCCGGGCCGGGAGACGGGCTGGGCCTGGTGGGCACGGTGCTGGGTGGGGCTGGCTCCCGCCCGGAGGGTTGGGGACCCCAGGACCTCAGGGCCCCCCTGGTGCCTGTGGCTCCTCCAGTCCTGATCGCTCCCTGTCCCTCCGCAGGGCAAGCTGGGAGTTCCTGGTCTGCCTGGCTACCCTGGACGCCAGGGCCCCAAGGTGACGTGATGCCCCATGACCCCCTCCTCCGTGCCCTCCCGTGACACCTGCTGGCGGGAACGGGCTGGCGGCGAGCAGCAGGGTTTGCCCCGAGCCAGCCTCCCGCCTCCATCACCTCTCCTGACCTGTGGCCCTTCCCAGCCTCCCTTTCCTGACTTCTCTTCTCCCTCTTGTCTTCCAGGGGTCCCTCGGATTTCCTGGCTTCCCCGGAGCTGGAGGAGAGAAGGGAGCCCGGGTAGGCGGGGAGGGAGCGGAGGGAGCGGAGGCAGGCCGCTGGGTGGGGGCGCCCGGTGACGTGACGTGCTCTCTCCCTCCTCCAGGGCCTGTCCGGGAAGTCAGGGCCGCGGGGAGAGCGGGGCCCCACGGTGAGTGCCGGGGGACGGTGGGTCAGTCCGAAGGGGCCGTGGGTTTTCTGGCAACTCCTCTCCCCTCTCCCCTTCTAGGGTCCGCGGGGCCAGCGGGGGCCCCGGGGCGCCACTGGGAAGTCCGGAGCTAAGGTGAGTGGCCCTGGCGGGGCTCCCGGGCCTGCCCCCCCCCCCCCCCCCGCCCCTCGGCCCCTCTGACTCTGCTTCCCCGCAGGGAACGTCGGGCGGCGACGGCCCCCACGGGCCGCCCGGAGAGAGGGTGAGTGTGGCCCCCGGACCCGGAGCCTGGGGGGCGGCTCCCTGCCAGCCCAGCGCCCTGCCGCCGGCCCCACGCTCACCCAGCTCTGTCTCTAGGGCCTCCCCGGCCCTCAGGGCCCCAACGGGTTTCCTGGCCCCAAAGGACCGCCGGTAAGCTGCCCTCTGCCCTCTGCCTACCTCGGTCCCCTGAACCCTCCCCGTCCCCCTCCCGCTGGAATCCCTGACACAGACCCTTCCAGGGCCCCCCCGGGAAGGACGGGCTGCCGGGCCACCCGGGCCAGAGAGGAGAAGTGGTGAGTGGTGCCGGCCCCCGGGCCCAGACTCAGAGCCGCGGGGAGCCGGCCGGGCCCTCAGCATCCCCCCGGGGTGGACTCCGCCGTGGGCAGGGAGGTGGACCCTGCCTTCCTCCAGGTGCCCTGACTGCTCGCTCTCCTCTCAGGGCTTCCAAGGCAAGACCGGCCCGCCTGGGCCCCCGGGGGTGGTGGGCCCGCAGGTAGGGTCTGCCCCGGGGAGAGTGGGCCAGCCTGGCCCCGGGGCACCGTCCTCTCCCTTCCCGGTGGGGGGCTGGTGGGTGGGGGTGGGCTGGGCACATGGGGTGGGCTGGGCTCTGGTGCTGAGCTCAGTGTGTCCTGGGCCCTTCCCACCTGCTGGGCTCAGGTGGTGCCGGCTCCTCACTGGGTCGGGGTGAGGGGGGTGTTATGGTGGCCCGGTGGCTGCTTTGGGCTGGGTGAGGGGTTGGGGGTGAGGGGTAAGGGATGAGGGGGGGTGTTAGGGGTCCCGGTGGCTGCTTTGGG